ACACTGTCAGTGCGGTTTTCTCCTGGTCTGGAGAGCACAACAGCTCTTGGTGACAGGAGATGCCAGAATATGTTGTTTTGCTTTCCTTCAGTTCTGCTTGAAGGTGTGATTTGCGATGCTGCAAAGAGGTTTCTGCCGTTCAAGGGGCCCCCTGGGAAAGCAAAGTTTGCTTTTATTGCTGTGAGTAGTCTGTTTTTCAAAAGCATGAATTTTCAGGCCTGGTTGCTCTTGACCTGGGAAGGGGAGTGGGGGGAGAAAGGAAGTCATGCAGAACACATGTTCTGCAGCATCAGCAACAGATGAGGGAGGATTTGATTTTGGCTACAGGGAAGCAGAGTCAGAATGAAGCTGTCAGTATGTTGCACACTATTTGAATGAAAAGTGTTGGCTTGGGGCACTTAACCAGAGCCAAGTTCTATTGGGATATCACTGATTCCAGACATTAAATGTCATTTTATGATGGCAGTTTAATAAGTTTATGTATTGTCACTGATGCCTTACGTGTTTCATATACTACAGATGAGGCCAGACCCAAAGTTGCTTAAAACAGCTGAGAAGCTCTCATGGATTCCAGGCGGTTTTAGGTGCCAAACTCTGTGCTTCATTAATGCGTTCTGAGGTTGGGAACTTTTCAAAAGGTTTCAAATGTTTTATTATATCTTTATTTATTTTAGTCTTTTTCACATTTTTAATCTACATAGTTGGCAGGCAGAGTGCCTGTTTTTCCACAGTAATAATAGTACAGAAAAGGGAGTGGTTCTGTTCAAATTCTGTTTACCCTCCACATTAAATTTTGCAATGGTCTCTGTCCTCTTAGAACTGTGTTCTGAATATCTTCCTAATGCTTTGGACATGAATTCAGAATAGATAAATGTAATAAGTTGCTTTACCCTCCAATCCTTTAGTAGAATCATAGAATCGTAGAATCATAGAATCATAGAATTAACTGGGTTGGAAGAGACCTCCGAGATCATCAAGTCTAACCCTTGATCCAGCCCCACTGTGATTACTAGATCATGGCACTCAGTAAATGTATGACACCTGAGTCTCTTGCTCCTGTTGTTTTTTTTCTACAGGTTATTCCCCCACCAACTGGGGAAAAAGAAGATGTATCAAAATTATCTGGTACTTTTTCAGTACTAAGCTGAAACAGCACCAGCATTAATATTCTCCTAAATTTGAGAAAAAAAATAGGTTATTGCAGTAAGAACACAGAGAAAATACAGAATACTAACATACACCTATCTAAAGAAAGAGACTAAAAGCAAATCAGTTTAAAGAGAAGATAATAACACTTGTACATTGTCTACTAAGTGCAAGATCGAAAAGCCTTTCTACTGCTTTAGCACAATCAGTTATTTTGTAATACTTGCAGCTTTTTATCCTACAGTCAGCAAGGGGCAGCTGTTGTGCACTAAACTTGTAGAAAGCTAGATAACAGGGTGCTTAAACCACGAAACAGGGCTACTGTTTGCAACTGATATAGCAATGAGTTCTGGAACAATGTTGGGGAGTTCTGGTTAAAAAAGTGTCCTTGCTGTCTGGGTGGTGGGAATGGGTTAATCTGTCTTAGTCCTGACTGTGCTGCTCAGTGAATTTCTGGGGCCCCATCCCATTGCCAATGCCACTCACTTCACTCATGGGACGAACCTCCAGGAGATTTCTGGAAGGACTAGAGACTGCGGAGCACTACTTTTACCTGCTTGGTCTACTGCTCCTTTCTTTTCCCCATTAAAATGTTCAGGTAAAATGTTTTCTATCTCTTCTACATAGATCTGTGCCAAAATCCACTGAATACGTTTAGGGAAAATTTGACCAACTTGTGCTCTCTGAAGGGGTCCATAGTTGGAGCACCTCAGCCTGACTGCTGACCAAGCAGCTCTCCTAGGCCATGCAGTCTTCAGGGTCTGTGATGTTACCCTCTCTGTCTCTGTCTTTGGATGACTTAAAGTCCCAAAGCTGTTTCAGTTTTCTTTTATGAAGAAGACAGAAAGAAAAGGAACCAGCATCTAATCCTTTTCCTTGTGATAAAGTCTCTGGAGGAAGAACTCATGCACTAGATTTGCAAAAGATTGGCAACCACTTTTTTTCTGAAATCCCAATGGCATTTCACAATCCCAACTGAGAACTGTCCATAGGAGAACAGGCATGATTACAATGCTCATTCATATGATCAAGGAATGTCATATGCTATGTCTGCTCATCACAAACAGATTAGCTTTAATTTTCTAGTCTGGATGACTGCACAGGTTACTCAACATTATCTTTGGTTTGCTAATCCTGAAAGAATCTATTTCTTTTTTGATGTTATTGCCATGGAAACTGGCTACACTGCAGGTCCAGATTACATCTTTACTGTTCACTCACTTTCATTTTGGTCTGCAGACTTTCTTCAGGTGCTAAGAAGATGCAGAGAACAAATCAATATTGTTCCTTGAAACAGAGTCACTCTCGGTGCTCTCCAGCCTTCACTATGTGGGTGTAGCCATTTGTGTTCTGTCTCTTTGGGCAAGAGACTGGAAACCTGAAGGTCTGCTACATGCACCCTCATTTTCTGCGATAACATTGCTCAGCCAGGCTTGAGAGGACAACTCAGCAGATTGCTTTCTTATCTATTTCTCAAGACTTTGCAAGTATGCCCACAGCGATGCAGAGAGAACAGTTACCATTTGGAGCACAAATCTAGGAAGTGTTTTGCAGATGCATGAAAATTGTTGAAAACAGGTATAATCAGGAGTCAAGGAGAATTGCTATTAAAAGTGTCAAGAGTGGAGAAGGCTCTATGTCAGAATCCAGATAATGAAGTACTTAAGGGAAGAACATGTCTATACTATGTGTCTGCATAGAACAAATGATGGCACAAACCATAGGTGTTACTGTTCTCATGTTTTTGGGATTTGAGTGATGTCTTGAGAGTGGGAGATCTCTAAATTTATTTTGTTTAGGCATTCATCTAGGTACCAAGCAAAGGGGCCCCCTCTTGTGACCTGGATGGATTCTTAGAGGCAGAATGTAGAGACTATACCTCTTTAGAAACCTGTTGCAAGCTCTTGTTATAATCAAATGATAATGGACTTCCTTCTGATGAAATGACCTTTATCCCTTGGGAAATTTTGTATGTTTAAAAGTGAATGTTAGGGGGAAGAAATTGAAGTGAGTTGCATATATTTTCTTTTAAGTGCCTGGAAAACCTGGATATGCAGGTAAAAGTAGCCCCTAGGCAGAAATAAGATTAGAAACTGGCACTTACATATCAAGTCCTAAGATATGCTACCAACCTTGGTGACATTACAAGCGTAATCTTCACACAGATAGCATTTTTTAGAGTATCTATAATGCAGTAGTCACTGATGCCTTTGCCTTGCATCAGGAATTCAAATCTTATGTCCACTTTCCACCCTACTTGCACTGCAGTCAAGTTACAAGAAAAAAAATCTGTTCTTTGTTGTTGTATTATTTTGTCTCTGAACCTTTTGTAATACAGTTTCATTTCAGAGGAGTCTGCACGAGAAAGCAGCTTTGCGTTACAGTTTTTCGTTCTTTTTGGATGCATGGGGTGTTGAGATTGCTTCTCTTTCACTCTGACATGACAGAGTGCAATACATGCCCTTGTCTGTCTCTCCAGAGACTGAGTTAACACTGGTAATAGATCGGGTGAGTTTACTAAGTACAGGAGGTAGAAAAATTATTTGGCTCTAAGATATCTATTTCTAACCTATTTCAATAATTTTCTGGTTTATATGAGTGCTTCTTAGGCAGAGGTTGCTGTTGTTGCAGAAAAGCTTGCATAAATGGAGCATGGCTTGTTATATGGCTGGTTTTGGCTGAACCTGGTAATATTATGTTCTCTGTATCCCCAAAATTTGTATTCAGAAGAAATGAAAGAAATTTTGTCAGCTATCATTATCCAATGTGCTTGCATGGTTTACTTGCTTTAGTGAAGGAGCACTTTCCTTTGCTTTAGCCTCTGCTAGTAAGAGCAACGCATATTCTAGTGTTCATACTACAGGAAAAGGTGCTCAGTACCCAAATGTGTATTCCTGATTCTGTCATGAATTCTGGTAGTTTTCTTGCATATAAAATGTGGCTTCCTGAGGGTGGAAAACTAAAGTAAAATTAGGAGCCAGGGAATTGAGCAGGCACTTGAAAATGTTGGCCTCAATATGTCAATTTTTGCATTTCTAAATTATAAGGGGGATTATAAGTATTTCACAGGACTCCAGAAAGGCTCTGTGAGTGTTTGCAAAGTGGTTTAGGGCTGGTAGTAGGGCAAGTTGCACTGCAATACAAGGAGCAACATCTTCAGACCACACCTCTGGAGCATTTGTACATTTGGTGACAGCCTCATATGACAGCAGTCCATTAAGAGACTGTCATAGATCTGATCATTCCCCTCTTCCCTGGGGATTTTATCTGGAGGAAAAGAAAAAGAATTTGTTTGTTTGTCCCAGATGCCCCCAGAGTATGTCAGAGCTGCTGTTCAATGTTCCATTTGTTGTCATATGCACTATGTGACGTTCATGCCCAGAGCACTGTTGCACAGGATGGCTAACTGTCCATGTCAGGGGGTTGTGAAGGGATAGACTCTTCAGTGGAGTTCATGGCAAGTGCTCAGTCTACCTTATCAAAAAAACATAAGTAAATTAGTCCTGCATATTTTACAGTTTATTGTGATTCCATCAAACATAGTTAAAGAGTTAGAAATATTTCAGGAAAAGGAAAAAACCCAACCCCATGTTTAATTAATCAATATCTGACAGGAAATCCAGCTTCTTCCTTTTTTTACCAATAATATTTAATTTTAATAAAGTTGCCTGCCCTGACACAGTTTGATGTACAAACGTTGTTTGACCTATGGTGGCTGTTGCTTGCACTTGGAAGTTGAATGTACTACATAGACCGTGTAACTAATGAGATGGGTTTTTGTTCATCCTTTCAGTTAATTCTGTGTGTTCTTTTTTTCCCTCTCCTTCGTGCTGCACGGCTGATTACCACCCTAGGACCTTGCAATGGGACACAGACCCCTCAGTGCTGCAACTCCAGTCTGACTCTGAACTTGGGTATATGTCAGTTGATTATTTCTTTGCAAGAATTATGTTGAAAATGCTTCCTAGTTGAGCTGGTTGTGTGTGTGATTTTTATTTGCTTTGTTGACTCAAAAAGACCATAGTTTAAGTTTTCTTTTTTTAGTTTCGTAAATAAGAAGACTCAGCAAAGCCACTGTTGTAGAAAAAAACCCCAACTATTTAAATAATCTCATGAAAAGATAAGTTGCTATTTCTGTTGCCTGAAACACAATACAAATAACTATTTCATTACAGATGAAATGTTATTATTGTGGCACATATATGCATGTACAGTTACATTGATCTTGTTTGTACCTGTTGATTCAGACTGTTCTCTCTGAATCATTTGCAAGGTACTTTGTCCCCTCCTTTCTGTTTGCTATAGTTATGCTGTTTCCACATGCAGTAGCATTTCCCCCTTTTTCATTAGGTGTTGTGCATGTGCTTATAATTGTGCACTTAAATATGATCATAATATACGAGTAATTGCCATCTTAGTTGAGTTCAGGCCAATTAAGATTTTTTTAAATTGTACTAGAGCTAAAATAAATATTTTCTAGCTGGGGATGGAACTTCTTTACCCCAAGCATGTGGAAAAAAATCATTAATTAAAATAATTTAGAAATGCTTACCTGCAGAGATATTTAGGATAAAGTGTTTCTCTAAAAGCATAGGTAGCAGTACTTCAAGTTCTTCAGAGCTTGAGTCACAGGCAAAAATAAATCCCTATATTGAAAAATTTGCTCTACCTATGAACTTACAGGCTTTCCTGTCTGAATGTCCAGGCTTGTGCTCTTACTAGTTTGTGTGCTAGTTCATTCACCATTCTGTAAGAAAAACAACAATTTCCTTTAAATGCTGATTGGCAGTGCTCCCATCTGCAGTTAGGGATGTTAGGGATATTCACCAGGAAAGTTCAGAAAGAAAGTATCCAGAAAGCTTTCCAAACAGGTTTTCTCCATATCCAGAACTGCTAGGAATATTCACAGTCTTCACATGAGTATGGCTTCAAACAGGTCCAGCTTCTACAACTTTGCCTGGACTGTACCAAAAAGGTAGAGTTTTTTGAGCTGTGTTAACATACAGAAACCCTTTCGAAATCTCAGCTGCTTTTTTTTCCAGAAGTTTGGATTAAAAGGTGAGCACTCCTAGGAGCAAGGTTCCTCAAACAGTTGTGCAAGGCAAGTTCCTTTATTTGACTCATGAAAAGATAACCCTATATATAGCTATGAGACTTCAATAATTTATGAGTGGTGAGTGCAAAGGCAAGAAAGAAGCATACCAAAGGAGCAAATCCACTGGTATATACTTTAATGGAGGTCCTGCCCCTTTTGAAAGAAAAGTGTCTTCAAAAGCAAAGCAGAGTTAAACTTTCCTCTAGTGTCATGAGACTAGATAAAAAAACTCCAAAATCCATTGCTAAAGAAATTCTGCAGTGAGCAAATACATACATGATGCATGTAGCAAAACACTTCCAGCAGATACATCTTTCTTCTGGTACCTATAGACAGAGGAATCAATTTTAATGAATGGACTTTAGTTACTGTCCTTCTATTCACATCCCATTGGCAGTTTTGAAAGGAATCCTTCAAAGCTTATGTGCTCTCTAAGATGAATATTCAGGGAATTTCTAAGAATTATGAGCAGCTCTGATGAAAAATGGGGATAGGAAAACAAAAGACAGTTTAGTGTTGCCCTAAATAGAACCAGAAACTGGAATATTACAGTTCATATTTGATAGAGTCCAGATACTGAAAGGATGCACCAGTTATCTCTAAGTGCTTGGGACCAAGGGCTAGGCCAGCTTTTAGTTACACAAGAACAATTACAGGTTGCTTTGCTGGGGTAAAAAATAATCAAGAGTTCATGTTCTTTCAGATGAAGAAGGGCCTCCCTATCTTCACCAGTAATTACTAGACTATGGGTGGCACAAGGCATTTGTACAGGAAGCAGCAATGTCTGAATTATAAATGTTTTAGGTGAAAAATTCCATATGTTGTCTCAGCACAGTGCTCTGGGATTTAGGTCACTTCTTGGATAGCAGGGTACAAAGAGATTAAACCAACTAGCTGTTCAATCCAACTGTTCCCCCTCCTCAGGTGAGGAGATATGGAATGACCTCATGTGAAACTGAAATGTTGTTAGAATTTGGTGAGGTTCTAATTAGATCCAGATTAGACACATAATTATTTAAGGATTACACTTAACCAAGACCACTGTCAAGAGACTTTCAATGCAGAAGGCTTAAGAATCTCAGTAAATGGAAAGAGTAGCCTGGGGCAACAGGGGACTGGTTACGTAGGAAAGTCTAACTGACCAAATTAGATTGCACATCTGGTGTTGAATAAGGGAAAACCACATCAGATATTGCTGATGTTTATTAAAGCTTGAATTCACACAGACCCTCAGTTAAAGCAGCTACAAAAATGTAAGCCTACTAAAACTTTTGTTAGCTGAAGAAGGTTTTCTGCCCCCAGTAACAAGGTAGAAGTTTTTCTGTAAAATTTTCTGACAATTGTTCACACTGGCAAAGTCACAGATGGTTGTAAGGAGGGAGACTTGTTAATTTTTCATCTTTGAAAAGAGCTCAGAGCTATAACAAATGTTTCTGCTCTAGTGGTTTGTTATGCGATGCAGCTGATTGGTACTGATGAATCTAATTGCATTCAGCTTAATAACAACTCAGCCAGTAAGATAGAACAGAAAAATATAGAGCTGATGTAACATTAACCACCTGAAAAGTTCAGTAGGTGTTATCCCATGATTTCAGTTTCCTTTTGAGACCTCCATTTCCTTTCAGATATCTATCTTAATTGAGTACCAACACCATTGCAAATTAATTAGATAAAAACCCCTTTGACTTCTGTTTTTCTGACACTCTGTAAAATAAAGAGGATATGGCTAATGTGTATGAATTCTCTGCTTTTCAAAGTTGTTCTCTCTAATAACATGATAGTTGAGAAACATTGTGTCCATGAATTTATTTCCCATAAGTGCAAAAACATGCTCACACTTGCTGATTTAGGCAACTAGATTTATTTAGTCGATTTGTTTATTATGCTTGCATTGTTTTCTCTGCTGAAAATTGCCATAGTTTCCAAACACTTGCAAGTAACCATTTGTATATTCTTCACTCTTGGAGACAGAAAAATAATATTCAGGAAATAAACTGATTTACACCCCCCCCCCTTCCCCCATCGAGTGAACTGTGTACAACTAAAAATATTCATGGTCATGCTCAGCTCTCTCCCTTCTCTTTCCCTTAGCTACCGACAATTGGCTTCACTGATTTATTTTATATGGTTTATTTAAAGTAAGGGAAGTTGTCAAAAAAGAAGGCTATTCTTACCCTGTTCCAGTTGTGTTTTAGCTCTCCTCCAGCCCTTGAATTAGGGCTCTACTAATCATAAACCTACATCAATTCCACTACTAATGACTGCTGTGGAAGGCAGAATCTCCTTCTTTATGGAAATCACCCAACTTGCCAATTAAAAGCTCTATTATTGCTCTCAGCTGAACATCTGACAGTCCTAATCTGGTGTGGTTTACAGCCACTGTGCTCTTTCCATTATTGTGTATCCCAGGCTGAGGATGAACTCTTTTGAGCAGGCAGAATGTTGTAGTAATGATGGCCTGAAAGAGAATTTTGTTGCATGCTAAGAGGGGCACAAGCAGGTCATTTCTCTCTCCTATTTACAGTCCATTTCAGAGGCATGATCTAGAGGTTCAGTAACTGTATTTTATTATGGCAAATGGTTCTCAGGTTAATTTTCATCACTGCAGTTAGGTACTTCTCTTTAACACATACTGTATTGTGTTTCATCTTAACAGGCACTGAAGTATTTTTTTATCCTGTTCATAAAAGCAAACACTTTTGTTCCTGCTGCTGATTTACATTTAATATGACTAACCTTTTGATGTCATGTATTCCACCTTAGACGCAGACTGCACAAACTAGGGGTGTCAAAGATTACCCAGGTTGATTTCTTACCTCGGGAGGTGGTATCATACTCCAAGGAGACGCAGACACCTCTTGCCACACATCAATCTGAAGGTAAGATATGATTTTTAAAAAAAACCATTTTCATAGGAAGTTAATATTTGAGTGAGAGTTAAAGAATGTAACAAAAATAATAGTAAATCATAACACAGCTGTTTATCATGTATTTTCTGCAAGCCAGGTATTGTTTATGAGATTAATGGCTGTTCTGGTGAAAATAATTATAATAATGACTTTAAATGCTGGTGGAACCAAACTGCTTCTAACTTACAATGGGCTGTGCTTAGATAGCAGTTTAATGGGAACATATTTTCAAATAAATAATTATGGATATAATTAAAATAGTGCTTTATTGAGTTTTTCTTGCTTTCTCAAGGAAGTTATTCATTCCATGCTTTGTAAAGAGGCAGTCTTGGAAAGTGGCCCTCAGTTGTTTGGTCAGTGTAATTGTGTCCCCATACCATAGGTGAAACTTAGGAGTTTCTCCATGTACTGAAAAAGGTGGTTTGCATACTTTGATGTGGATGGTCCTACTTTCCTCCTCTTGACATCATGCTGAAATCTGTACTCCTGGGGCTGTTTGTTAGCTGTTTGGCTTTCCTGTTGATAAGTAAATACCTGGAGTAGGTAGGGAAGTGCTGATCTATCTGTTCCATAGACTACACATTTGCCAGTTTTGTACTGCAGAATGCTGATTGCATTTAAACTGAATTCAGAATTGTGCCTTAGCCTGGGATCTACACACTGTTACAAAGTGGGTAGAAGAAGAAAAACTGATCACAGTCTTGACTGTAATTTTTGCTGTTAACAATGATATATATATGGAAGATAAGTGCAAACATAAGAAGTCATGGACTTTAAACTGCTTAGGCCAAAACTGTGATGGAAGAGATCAAACGGGGATATGTGGTTTTGGTGACTGGATTTGTTATCCTTTTTATTTCTGTGTCATCACAGCCAAGGGAAAGCATCAACAATAGCAAGGTTTTACATATTTAAACACAGAGAAAATATTACCCAATCACTTCACTCAGCTGCATGACAGAGAGAAATTCTAACATATTTCCTTTCAAATCTGCTGCTAGGGAATTTTCTGCACATAGCTTGGATATGAGTATGGCTGTGCATCAGTAAAAGAGAATCAGGGAAGTTTGGTTATTCCCTTGAAAGGGTATTTAATTGGAAACTCTCTAGGTGGTAAATAAGCACTGTGATTTTGGTCTCCTGGGTCTGATGGAAATGAATTCTCATGTTTTCAATCTTCCAAGCCTCTTTAGAAATGTTGAGCCCTTCATACTGTTACTCTAAACATGAACAGAGGTGAATTCCTTGGGAGAGAAGTTTTGAGAAGTCTCTACACTGTTTCTATACATTCATGTGATAAAATATAGCCATTATCTTTTCAAGATAAATTGCTAGTCCATTACTATGGTTATGGGCTCAGTTATTCAGCATTTAAGGCCTTAGAGTTTGAGAGCAGAAAAAAAGGAATTTCTTATTTACTGAGATGATTCTGACTTCAGGTTTCAAAATTCACTCTTTTGCTACCTGCCTTGAATACTGGAAATGTCAAAATGCAGAATTTTAGGATGAGATTGTCATGTGCTTGTTTCTTGTTTGCAAGATAACTAATGAAAGGTACAGCTGGTTGGAAAGATGGGTGAAAGAGGATTTTGAGAGTCCATTCAAAGTTCTTCAGCTTTTTTGAAATGTCAGTATCAGGTTCTGTGCATATTGCTTTTCTAGAGAGAAAGAAAGAAACTCAGAGATACTTTAAGCCTACTGCTGTTCTGGAGCTCAGTGGATTTAGGCCTTTGTGGTAATGGCTATTGCCCACCAAACCTTATAAAACTGGTAAAGGAAGGGTTTACTCTGCTAAGTGCCTGTGGTGCTAGAAAGCCAGATGCTATATGCACTGAAGTCTCAGGTTGTCAGCTGCTAATTTTAGAAGAAATAATGTGGCATTATTCTTCACTGTATAAAAACAGATTAACTCCTCTTTTCAGAACAGGTAATTTGCTTTATTTCAGAGGAATAATGACATGTCATTTCTCCCAACGACTCTATTATTTAGAGAGATGTGTATATGCATCATTCAACCCTTTGATCACAAGTACCTAATTCTTTTGCTTTATTTAGGTCACAGTAAGCTTCAGCCTTTTCTTTTCTTCCTTGCAGGATGACTTCAAAAACACACAGATCTTGGCTCTGCAGCCTGAGAAAAAATGTGCTCTTTACTTTCCCCCTCCTTCTTCTATAATTGAACTTGAGTTTAGGTGTTTGTAGGCATTGAGGGACATTTCACTTGTGCTACTTTTTCCATTCTGGAGTTGATTAGGACCTAGACTATGCTAAACATTTTCTGAGAGGTCTCTGGGACATGTTCCTTCACTGTGCAGACTCTCACATCACCCCAGAGTGGCAGTCCCATGTAACCTTTGATGGTTGGACCCTCCAAAGCACTGCAGACATGCTGTTTGCTGAAGGCACCCCTAGAAGAAAGCAGCAACAGAAAAGCCATGGCCTGGCCTCTGCCCATGATGACTCCCTCACTGCCATACAGCAGTGGAAGGATATCTGTATGTCTGCCTGCAAATCAGCTCTTCAGATAGGAAAGCAGTCTGCACATTCAAGCTCTACTAGATGCTTGCCTCAGCTCCATCTTACTGTTCTGCTCTTTAATGGGCTAGGAGGTAAAATCTCAGTGAGGAAAACACTGTCCCTGCACAGACAAGGGAGGTAATCCTCTGATCTGGCTCCCCTCAGAAACTGGGAGGCAGCAAGAAGGTGAAGGTCTGTGAGATCTCTGGCTTTGCTGGCTAGTATCAGGAGTGTTGTTATTTCTCTTCTGTGAGGTAGAAACTCCTTCATCAATAAAACGAGATGTTCTCACATTCTGGCTTACCAGACTGTCACTGCAAATAGGCTAATCAGAAATGCATTTCTGAAAAAGTACGTCCTGTGTATAAGAGAAGAAGATCTGACTTTCTAGAACAATGGAGGTCCTAGGTACTTCACCTGTTTATCATCTTCAACAGATGTTTGTTCATGTGGGGAAAACAAATGATATGCCATACTCACCTCCTGAGCAGGATAACTTCATTCTGCATCACAAACGTAGTCCAGTTCTGGCAAGGAACAGAACTGAGACCTGTGATCCATCTGTTTATCTGACATATTCCAACACTGAGGATATTTTGAAAGAGGAAAAATAAACTCTCTCCTCCATCTGGAAGTAGACTGGAATGAAGTGGCAAAATGGAGGTGGAGCTGCAGAGGCTGGGTTGGGTTCTGCATTGTCTCTGACAGGGTAATTCTCAGAACTAAGGTTCCTGGAAGTTTTAATGCACTGAGGGAGGAGAGGGGAATTCTGCTCACAGTCAGGCTCATCTGACCAAGACATGAGTTTAGGCATGTGTGGATGAGACCAAATTTAAGTGCCTGGTGTAGGGTGAATCAGAACTCTCTAGATGCCACTGATCACATTGACTAGTTCTTCACTAACTAGCTTGACAGAGCACTTCATGTGGGCATATTAATGCAGGTTTCTCATTACTGAGTAAAATGCATGTGGCTAAAAGAGTCATGCACTGATGTTGTGTGAGGGCTGTGTCTCACTTCGAGTTTTAGTAATTGGATGATCTGTGACTAGGACTGACAAGCCCCAGTGCTGTGCAAGCAATTCAGGCCTCTGGAATTTTATCATCTCCGTTATAAAATCCATAGATAAAGTTATTTATACTTTTGTGGTTGGGGTCTGAGACTTCCATGTTTAGTCAGTATGGGGATCTGTGCATCAGAGTTCTAGCACATCAAATTCTGCACCAATCCTTTTGTGTCTTCTGACTAACTCAGCTTTGTGAATGTATGCTGTGCTTAAGAAAAGGCAGTCCCAGAACTAGTGATGCTTGAGTCTTCCCATGCCCAATCTGGCTAGAGCTCATGGATCAGAAGCTGGGGTTTAAGCTAAAGAGCTTACTTTGGCTTTTTCCTTTCAGAGAATCTTAAGCTCAGCTCCAGTCTGAAGAGGACAAGCGTGGACCCAAGAATAGCTTTGAACCCCTCATTTAGTGGGAAATACAGATGCCCATTTGTGCGTTTACATGCATGCAATGTTTGTGTTGAGGTACATGAACATGTTTGATGGAAAGGCATTGGAGATCATTGTGGGAAGAAAAAGAGACCTGTTGTAAACAAAGAGGTGTTGGAAAACAGAGCAGAACTGGGATAGAAATTACTATTAAAAAGAGAAGACAACCTAAAGATGAATCAGTGTTAAAGCAGAAGTTCTGTTTTTAAAGAGACAGAGCCTTAGCATTAGTACTAAGGAACACTAATTTTTAAGAAATATTATGCTCTATCCTAGGCAGTATCTTGTATCACTGGCTGGTTTTAGTTAGCTATAGAAATCTAGTTTGCCTTTTCTTCTCAAGCTGCAGTCCATCAGAGTCATACTGTGGATTTCAATAGCTGGCATAAACACCCTAATTCAAGACTTCTTTGTTTTATTAAATCAACAAAGCTTAATTTGTACTGTTGTACCAGACTGTACAAGATTGGATGAGACTAGAATAAAGTGGAGCAAAGATTTGAGGCATTGCACTGTGCAATAGTATTTAAATAATTCCCTTTTATTCCTGTCACAACTGCATCACCTCTTCTAACTAACAAGATTTCAAAGATGGAATTAAAAAATTTTATTTATTTATTTATTTATTTATTTATTTATTTATTTATTTAATTTGGAATAAAAATCTTTCAAAGGCATACGGGCAGCGCCCTCTGGTGGTGAAATGATGAAGTGACTCATTGATGCTGTCGGGGAAGGATGCAGGGACGCTCGTGTGACCTGCGGAAAAACTCGTCAAATCATTTGTCTGAGGCAAGAATTACACTTAAAAGAAGATGCTTTAGTTGTGTGACTGAGAAGCTGTATAAATGCAGGTGCTGATGAAAGAAGTGTGAGAAGAGACCAAAGTATTGCATAAAAGTTGGGGAAAAATATATTATTTAGGAATGAGTTGGGTTTTTTTTAAAAAAAAAGCCTTGAAAAT